TTATGAACATTTACTTTTTTTACTTTTGAGGTCAAATCACTCATTTCACCAGTAGCAAAACACAAAAACTTCGGTGGTCCCAAACAAGATGTGAACACTTTCTTTGATTTATCTGCAAAGAGAGTTTTAAGTTCAGAGATAGTTTTATGATATAAACCATGCATAAAGTAAACTATAGCTATATTTAGAGCGCTTTGTGAAAAGTCCATATCTCGTCCTTCATTTATCATGCTTACAGTCGTTTTTATTAGTGTATCTACGTTACACAAACCAGAGTCACTGAATTCTGCTCGAATCAGCTCTTCCCGCCATTTGGTAACAGCTTGTATGATCTTTATACATGGTGTTAGCACTTTGCCCTCTGGAAATTTTTCGACATAACAATCTATAAGTGAAGGATCATGAAAGTATGAACAATATGTCCAAATATTCTCAAACCGTGAGGAATAAAAACAAACTTCCCACGGCGTGTAAAGCTCAAGATTAGTATATAGAGCTAACATTGCCGTTATTCTATTTATGTTGCCGTGAAGCATACGAAATGTATCATCATTACTTTCCAGTTTAAAGTCTATGTTTTGAAACAAATTATTTTCAGGAATAAAGTAGTGTTCTAGTTTATTATCTCTGATACAATCTTCGAGCATTTTCAGGCATTTTTTGACACAACAGATCAAATTTCGAGGCAACCATTCACTTTCTGGTAGCCTTTCACACGTCCAAAATAGTATATTCTTTAAATGATATGTTGTTATGTGCTTTAATATCCGATTTTCACCAAATGTATTTTTTAACAGCTTCAAGAAAATATAGCATTTGAATTGTGTTTCATTCAAACTCCATATCAGTTCACGTTCAAGTTCTACAAAAGACAGTCTCCATTCTAAATCACACTCGGTCGAGTTTTTGTTTCCAATAGGTGCTACATAGCATGGAATCTCTTTTTCAAGTCTATTCAGTAGACAGCGACTTGGCCAATTATTTGATCGCCTGCGCGCTTTCCACATTTTGGTTTCTTCCGGCCAGGTTTGTATCTCAAATGTTTGCACATAGTCCACACTAGCATTTGTAATCGCCGGTCCGTTAAATTCAATCACAATTTCTCCCTTTTCATTAGGCATTAGATTTCCGGGAATTCCATATTCGCAAAAAAGTTTACTTGAAATGTACATATCTTGTACACTCTTTGATATCATATTATAATGTTCATATCCAATTTTCCACTTATTTTTTACAAACAAACCATATTGATTCGCTGTAAATTTGAGTTTGCAGTAACATGGAAAACAGCCCGTTCTTACCAATTCGATCGATATCAAATCGTCAACTTTACAATCTGTATCTACTACAATAATTCCACCAATTACACCCATTACATCTGAGTCACTTTTGCCGGGTATAATAGACGATTCTGCCATTCCCCCACTTGTTCTCTGTTTATGTTTTAAAAAGAATTCCTCCAAATATTCACCCATCTTTTGGGTTATTTTCACCTCATTTCTTGTAAACAATCCATAACATAAGTGTTCTAAGGCATTACACGTTCGAATGGATAATTGTTTGCTTGAAAGTTTCTGTCGGTTTTGCATTCTTAATTTTGACATTTTAAAAGACTCAGGCTAAAATTGATATTAGCATTAAGTTAAGTGATGGTATATAACAAACGTTTGTGTATAAATATGCGATAATGTCAATTTAAAGTAAACAAATACACTGGTGTTATCTGATATGGGAAAGCTATGTATAGTACAGGGACGGATACAACAGTCTGTCTTTGAGGCGTAATATCAACAGGGCTGCCTATAAGGGTTGTGGTCAGATATGGGAACAGCCTGAGAAGCGTACAAGCGGACGCTGAATTGTTTCGTTGATTTACGTAAAACGACTTTATATAAAACCATCTTATATTCGCTTAGATATTTTATTATTTATTGCTCACAGGCGCGCAGCTATTTGTGTTTAATTTTTAGTCCCGATTTTTATCAATTAATCCCTTTGATTTACAGCTTAAAAGAAATTCGGAATCAAGAACTCCTTCCGATTTCTATTATGTCATATATTGGTTTCCCTCTCGGTGATTCGCAGCATGTCATATTAGTGAATGAGTACAGGAACAAATTTCACGGCCAAGTATAAAAGACAAAAACAAAAAACAAAAACTTAAATTCGGTAATTAATTTCTTACATTGGTATCTTCTCCAAGAAATTCCTTATTATTTTGTAGTACACAGTGGGTTATGTATGTATTTTTATTGAGGTACGTTAATTCGAACGCTATAAAAAGTTCGAAAATCTATTTACAGAAGTAGTTTTAGTCTAAACGAAACGGTCATTCGTGTCGCGCTATGGTAATAAATAACAAACTGGAGATCTTTGCAGGAAATGAAATGCAAACATATTCAACAATAAATTGCACTCTTTATAAAATTATCAAAAAATTAAGTAGGCCATTTTTACGATTTGTTATGTCATAGTATTATCATTTTGAAATTGTCTTTTCCGGAGGTTTTTTTCCCGTTAAATTAAAATATCTACCAAATGTTGATTTGCCGAATACTTTGACATTTTAACAACAGAAACTTATTTTAATTTGACATGAAAAAAATGCATGTAATACAATGTTTTACTATAATATTAGTCCCTTAAATTATGTTACTATTTGTATATTTGTTACAATTATAATAATAAAAAGGACTTTGTTCATTTTGATTACTGTTTTGTATGTTCCAATATATACAATTCTGTACAATTCTGGTAAAATCCAATTAACCATTGAAAATTTGATTAGAATATCTAGTCATCAAATGTCTACTAGTTCATCGTCATTTGCTGCATTTTTTTGCTTGAATGCCTTTTGTGGATTTGCATCAATGCTTTTCTTGTTATATAATGATTAACCATTTGCCGCGAAACATGCAAAGAACATCTTAAAAAGTAAAGTCGATGAAAGTTTTTGTTTTGGCATTTTTACATATAGATTTTTTTTAAATTTATTACCATGATTAGTTGTTCATATTTGTAGAAAATGAGTAGCATTAGGTGAAAAAGAAATGTTCATGCTTTGATATTATTTATCATCATATATTGCTGACTATAGTAGTGACAAAAACAGAACAATGTTGCACTACTGTCCTGTCACATTACATTTACAAGTGCTGTAAGTCTTGTTTGCAATTTATGGAATTACTTTCCTTACCAGGTATGCATCAGTGAACGCATTTTTTTATAAATTTAATATCTGGTACCTCTCTCATGGGCAGTGTATTCCATAAGTATAATTGTGCAAAAAATGATTTACAAAACATCCAGAATAATGTACAATAGTACTAAATGTGAAAGAACATGATCTGTGCGTAGGAACGATTTGGTAAGTATCTGTAATGAGCACAATTTTGCGCGGAGCTTCTCAATTGCTGCATTGCAGCAACATTTGTACTTGTAGGGGGCACTGTAATTGTGGCTATATACGTGAGTTTTGCCCTGTCACATCCTGTTTTAATTGTTTTTAAGATATTAACACTTGCGTTATTTTATTTTTGTTTATTCTAGGTTTGAAAAGTAAACACAAAATCATAAAAGAACATTCATCGATTCAACGTTTTACATTAATTATTTTGGTTCTAGAAACCACTTCCTTTATGTAAAAATAGTGAATCTTACACACAGTATAAATAGTGAAACTTTTTCAGACAGATTTTTATGCCGATAGAAAATGAACCAAATAATTGTTATCGACATGTGCATAGATGTGTGTCTATTTTCTAAGACTATATTTATTTTGCTTTGTTCTGACATATATTTATTATTGAATAGTTTTTATCCTTTTTTGTAGGATTCAGTGGTCAAAACGGTCATTTTATTCAAATTTTGAATTTTGTTATTATTATCATTTTCTTACAGATTTAAGAAAATAGTCCATCATATTTTGTGTAAAAAGCAGCAAAATACTTTTTGTATGTTTTTAAAAGGTTATGAAAGTATTTTTAGGTAATGTTTACTTTAACTTATCTGCATGTACCATTTAAGTCCGTACGCATAGCTCATTATGTTTCATATTTGTAACCCCTGGGTTAGGGTTAGATCCCCGGGTAAGGCGAAATCTCTTTGTGACAGTTTATCTCCAACATTTAGTTTTACAGTCGGTTTACTGTCATCGCTGATTCAGAAAACATGTGGGATAAGTATTCGGTCAGTGGGGAAGAAGTTGTTAATTACTGGTTTGTTTCACCGGGAGACCATAAGTAAGATAGTCAACCCAGATATTACCAAATGTGTTAAAATTGGCTTAAAAACCAACTTATCAACAAAAAATTATACAAAACCATTGTATGCTTTATTAATACGTATTCTAAACAGGTACAGCAACATTGAAAGTACATTTATCTCTTGAAAACAACTTGTGTACAGATTCACTCAAACTGAGTCTGCCATTTCCATGTTATTTTGTTATCGACATGTGCATACAAATGTGTGTCTATTTTCTAAGACTATTTAGTTTGTTTTGTTCTGACATATATTAGTTTAATAGTTTTTATCCTTTTTTGTAGGATTCAGTGGTCAAAACGGTCATTTTATTCAAATTTTGAATTTTGTTATTGTTATCATTTTCTTACAGATTTAAGAAAATAGTCCATCATATTTTGTGTAAAAAGCAGCAAAATACTTTTTGTACGTTTTTAAAAGTTTGTGAAAGTATTTTTAGGTAATTTTTACTTTTACTTATCTGCAAGTACCATTTAAGTCCGTACGCTTAGCTCATTATGTTTCATATTTGTTAGATCCCCGGGTGAGGCGAAATCTCTTTGTGACAGTTTATCTCCAACATTTAGTTCTACAGTCGGTTTACTGTCATCGCTGATTCAGAAAACATGAAGTCGCCCTTTTCCAGATTTGTTTTTAAGTTTGGAAAAATCTTATTATCATTTGAAAATACATGATCTTTGAATAATAGAAATCAGCAAGATTATTTCAGTTTTATTTATTTGGTACCATGCAAGACTGAACAGAACTAACAAAGGCCTCAACAGACGGCAGGATTTTTTTGGATGTACAAGCAAATCTTAATGTGTGAAGGCTTCTATCTTTTGAATTCGCAAAGCTTAATACTAGATTTACAGAAAAGCAAGTGTTCTATCTCTAAAATTCTAGTTGTACAGACCTTTCACGATGACAGATGACATAATTCCAAATTATTTTTTATCTATATAACAAATGCAAATGAAAATCACCAAAGAGCAAGTAACACATTTTGACACACACACAGATATACGGAATGTCTATATAAATATGACATGTATTCTTTTTCGGCCGGACTTGCTATACAATTTACAAGGAAGACTTATGTATGTAAAAATTTCATTTGGTCATCTTAAAATTACAATAACATAAATAACATAAAGGATATTTCTGACATGGTATGCGCGTCTATTTTTAAATAAATCTAAAGGAAACTGCTAACATTTATAAGTTCTTTTACTATCAAGTTTAGTTTCAGATACTGAGGTTGTGTTTTACCATGCCTTCTCCTTCACATTATAAGTCTATATAACTATGCAACCTCCTACAGATTTTAACGCTGCTTTAATGAGAACCCGCCATTTACAATTACGTTCACGATCCCGTTACTCATGCGCATGAAAATAACGAAAAGCACACAAGAAAACCAACTTATCCGGTAATATCAGTTATCTATGTGAAAAAGATTAATTATAATTTTTCATGTATTTTACATATAAATGAAGTTTTTTTAACCACAAACGAGAGAATAGTTTCTTTATTATAAATGCTTGTGAAAGTAGTTTTAGATTAGAAAGCTTACTTTCGGTTCTTTTTTTTTCGGATTTTAGGTTTCTTTTGTCATCTCCAAAGGTGTTGCAAATCCGTTGATTCGGGTATTTCATATCGAAAAAACGTTGCATTAATAAACTTTCTATTAAAATTTCGATTTGATTAAACTTCAATTACTTAAATGATTTTTTTCTTAAAACTAAAACGACATTCACAATAATGAAAATTAAAAAAATCATGACGGTAAAAATGAACTGTAAAGGCCTCAACAGACGGTAGGATTTAGTTGTGCAGCACTAATAAGAGATAAGATGTACAATTTTCAAAGCAATACAACACTTGCATTTAGACGGTAAGTCTACACAGTAGGAATCATCTGAGGTTTCCCTAAAAAGGATCCCTACAAATTGATCTTTTACATACTTTACTCACTCAATACTTTTTTCGCCATGAGTAATGATTGAAACACCTCCTTAAATGTGAAGCCTGACCGAGACTCAAACCTGGGACCCTCGGAATACCGACTGCGGTTCTACTGACTAAGCCATCCGGCCGCCTACAAACTACCTCCCCTCCCCTAATTAGACAGCAGTTCAATACCGTGACATAATCATTTTCGGAATAATTTTGGATTCGAACATAACACAAGTGTAGGTCTCCTAAAGAGTTTTTCAACATCAGTTTTAGCTGTCCTACTACTATGTTTACCTTTTAGCCCTAATTGCTCTAAAATTTCATTCATTACACCCATTATCAGGTGATAATTTGGTAATCTGTTACTTGTCATTGTGGGAGTTCGGTCTGTAGAAATCTGTACGACAAGATTTTCAAAAATAGAACATGTCCTATCCCTTACCTCTAGACTTAAGGTTTCCGAATTCAAAAAATAGTAGCCTTTACACATTAAGATTTGCCTGTACATCTAAGTTTTAATTGGTGTTGTACTTCAAAATCCTACCGTCTGTTGAGGCCTTAACGGAAAAAGTTCTACGAAATAAATTGTTTTGTTTGTAGTTCTTATTTATTTCTTTACTTTTAAAGGATTTATTCCAGACTTTCGACGTTGTTTCTATTTGAAATACTTCGTATCGGATTCTTTTACTCAAACTGCCAACAAATGAACATGATTTCAATATCTTAAAAATTTAAACGTAAAATTAAATAAAAGGCTCAATGTCATAATCATTATGATTCCTTTTTCCATATTTCCTAAGATACAATATGCAAATAAACCAGTTTAAGTTCGGCCGAGTATCGTTTTTTAACGATACTTCTTCGTCTTGTTCATTTGTCTATACAGATCTAAAAATTGAGGCCCTTCTTAAACAGGATCAAGTTGTGTAATGCCTTCTTAGAAAAAACCTGTAGTTCATGTTTAAAAAGACTAGTTGGAAGATGAAAAGAAGCAGTTTTTAGGTTATACTTTAAGGTAATGTGATTGTTAACTTATTAACACAAAAAGATTACTTTTCTTTTCCGCTTTCAACAATAGTTACAGAATCAATTTACAATTATTACATTAACGACAATAAACAACAGTAGATTTTAAAATGCAATGCGTAAAGCTTTAGAAATTTACTGGTCAGAATATTGCCTTTAATTTAAGGATGAAATTAAAATATTGAGTAAACAAGTGGGAAACAAACTTACCGGTTACACGTTATGTGCGAGTTAATTGCTCGTTGTGAGTTTATTATGTACAAAAAAGCAAACAAACAAACATAACGGATTAAGATATAAATTCAACATAACTTTAAAAAAACACATGTTCTGCCATCAACATTTCAGCGTTTTTCTTTGCACTTATTGTTTACAATAAATGCTATAAGATAGATCGCAGCATTCAATACAGTCGGTTCAACTTTCATAGATTCAGCATAAAATTTAAATGCAGCTTTTATGTCACCTGACCAGTATAAACAATGACCTAAAAGCACAAGTGACAGGTAGTAATCTTTCCTATTTACATTATATCTAACTGCGTGTTCAAATCGCAATACAGCGTCCTTAAAATAATCCAAGTGACCAAGCTTTAAGTAAGACATACAGAGAAGATAATATGCAACTATCACGGGGTTATAACGAAAGCTATCTCTTTTTGAATTTAGACATACTTGTAGGGCAAAAGGGTATGGCAAAATATAATGTAAATTATACTCTGTAACAAATTGATAGACAACTTTTTTTCTGTCCTCCAGAATCTGTATATTTACAGTCCTTGCTTTTGAGGTCAAATCTCCCATTTCACCAGTAGCAAAGCACAAAAGCTTTGGTGGACCTAAAGAAGATATGAATACCTTCTTTGATTTATCTGCAAAGAGAGTTTTAAGTGCAGAGATAGTCTTATCATATAAACCATGCTTAAAGTAAACTATGGCTATATTAAGAGTGCTTTGTGAAAAGTCCATATCTCGTCCTTCATTTATCATGCTTACAGTCGTTTGTATTAGTGTATCTGTGTGTCCCAAACCAGAGCCACAGAACAGCTCTTCCCGCCATTTGTAAACGGCTTGAATGATCTTTATACATGGTGCTAGCGTCTTGGCCTCTGGAAATCGTTTGATGAAATGATCTACAAATGAACGATCATAAGAGTAGGAACAATATGCCCAAATATTCTGAAATCGTGTTGAATAGAAAACAGCATTTGAAATGTTTTGAGAATAAGGGAAACCAGGAGGAGGTTTCACGATTATTGTTTCATTAATGAAGCCGTGAAGCTTGCGAAACAATTTGTCATCATTTTCCAATTGAAATTCTATATTTTGAAATAAGTTATTCCTGGGAATAAAGAAGTGATCCAGTTTATTTTCTTTTATACAATTTTCCAGCATTTGTAAGCATTTCTTAACACAACAGATTATATTTCTCGGAGACCATTCTTTTTCTGCTAACTTTTCACACAACCAAAACAGTATATTTTTCAAATGATATGATGTTACTTCCTTTAAAATCCGTTCTGTGTTGAATTTGGCTTTTAAAAGCTTCAGGTAAATATAACATTTAAATTGTGTATCGTTCAAGCTCCATATCAACTCACGTTCTAGTTCTACAAAAGAAAGTCTCCATTCTAAATCAAAGTCAGGCGATCTTTTGTTTCCAATAGGCGCTACATAGCATGGAATCTCTTTTTCAAGTCTATTAAGTAGACAGCAACTCGGCCAATTATTTGATCGCTTGCGTGCTTTCCAAATTTTGGCTTCTTCCGGCCAGGTTTGCATCTCAAATGATTGCACATAGTCCACTTTAGCATTTGTAATCGCCGGTCCGTTAAATTCAATCACAATATCTCCTTTTTCATTCGGTATTAGATATTTGGGAATTCCATATTTGCAAAAAAGTGTACTTGAAATGTACATTTTTTGTGTACTTTTTAATATAATATCGTAATATCCATGTTGAATTTTCTTTTCGTTTGCCTTATAATATTGTTCTGACGTAAATTTAAGTTTGCAATAACCAGCTGAACAGCCCGTTCTTACTGCTGTGATGGTGATTAAATCTTCTTCAACTTTACAATCCGTATTCACTACAATAAATCTATCAATAACACCCATTACATCTGAATCACTACGTCCTAGTATAACTGACGATTCCGCTTTCCCCCCACTTGTTCTCGATTTTGAATTTCCAAAGAATTCCTCCAAATATTCGCCCATTCGTTGAGTAATTTCCTGCTCTTTTCTATAAAACATCCCATAATGTAACGTTTCTAAAATATTGCTCGTTTGCAGGGATAATACTTTAGCGGAAGGTGTACCCCGACTATTAAATTTGGCCATTTCAAATAATTTAAGATGAAGTTGAAATTATTATTTTATTAAAAGTGGTCTTGGTTTTCAACAGTCGGAGTTACAATAGGTTGTTTGAAAACGCGATAAGATTAAATTATTAAATGTTTACACGTTGTTAATCTTTGCACCTTTAAAATCGGTATGTACAATTAATCCAGTCATTACATCTAATCCATCAATAACACACATAACATCTGAATCACAAAGACCATAAAAATAGTTTGATAAAAGACTCTTCCACCACGCGTGCTACAAAACTTTCTTCCAAATGTTTGACAATTTTTATTTTTTATTTTTTTATTATTATTTTCATAACAATCCATAACGTAAGAGCTATAAAAATTATTGTGTGTTTGCATTGGTAATTTCCGGTTAGAATATTATTTCTCCCGATTTATATCACATCAAAACAAGTGTGCACAAGTTGGTTATAACCTTTCGATTTTGCTAAGGTTTAGAGTAGGATAGTGTTTGTTTAAGCCCGCGATAATTCCGATCTAAAGCAAACAAAGTGACATTATCCAATACGTAATACAGTTGAATTATGTGAAATCATGAGTACAAATCAATATTGCACTTGACATTTACTGATAAACGACCATATCTATGCAATTTCTCAAAGGTATTGATTATTCTTTTCGCCCTAACTCTGTATTTCTTACATGGTAATCTATATATATTTTCATCTTATAAAGAGGATATCGAATGATTGAATATTGTAATATAATTCTATTCAACCTGTCCAACAGTAAATTCTTCTTATTAATCTTAGCAAATTAGAAACTATGTTTTTGAACACTCTGACGATTATTTTTTGAAAATATATTGGATTCTGTATGATAACAATGCTACAACATTACGTCAGGGTAATAGTCTATTTCAATATATTTCAAAACAAGAAGAAATAGAACAATAATTGATAAAATAAATATTTTGTATTTCCAACCCTTTCCCTAATGTGGATATTGTGAAAAATGACTACTGTTTTCATTGAAAGGCTCCTGTTACAAGTTCAAACTGTTACAAACTATGAAAAATGCTTCAATACTAATTAAAGTTGGCACAAAAGTTGACTGGACCATGGCGTTTGTAGCGACATGCTCAGTCTTAAATTTCCTGTTACCATGGCAACGAGGGGACATCTTAAAATTGCCAAAAATCACTTTTTTGCGTTGATTTTTTATCATCAAAATTGATTTCAAAGTACTGCAACTCCTCAATGGATTGAGATAGAGTCAAAAGCTTTTCCTCGTTGGTAACAAATAACCTTATGATCGACCTGGGGTCATTTCATTTTTAGCCTCTCACAAGTCCAAAATTTTCTTGGCGATGCGGGGGACTACCGCCCCCCCCCCTTCAAACCCCAAAAACAGAAGGGGGCACAACCCCCTTCTGGCAACCCCCGATGTACCTTTTTGTCGTTGGGCAGAGCCAAAAAAGTGATCACTTTTTAAGCTACATTTCCCAAACGAAAAAAATGTTTGGGCCTAAATAGGGTAATTGTTTACCTTTTGAGGCCTCAAAAGGGGGGTCGAAAAGCCGTCAAAACACGTATATATGAAGTAAAGGGTTAATTGAAATTCATGACATCAGAACAATTGTGTCAACTAAAAGCCTCAACAAACGGTAGAATTTAGTTGTACAACACTTTTTAAGGATATGGTGTGCAAATTTCAAAGCAATCCAATACTTGATTCTATATTTAATGAATTGAAACATCATCAGTTTTTCCTGCAAAATTTTCACTCCAAATGAATCTCTTAAAGAATTTACTTTGTGGAACATGTGTAAATATTATAATTATTTTCTTTGCCAATTAAGAAGATTGATTAAGAGGTTGGCATATGATAGCATGAAAAAAGCATTTAGGAAATTAATCATTTTCTGAATAATTTGGGATTCAAACATGCGACAACATGAGGGCACCCCAAGAGTTTTTAACGCTCTTTTTATCCCATCTTACTACAATATTACATTTTAGCGCTAATTGTTCTGGAATTTCATTCATTAAACACATTATCAGTGGTAATTTGGAAATCTGTCACCTGTCATCATGGGAGTCTGTAAAACAAGAATTACAAGATAGAACATGTCCTATCCTAGTAAAATCTAGTATTAAGTTGTACAAATTCAAGAAAAAGTAGCCTTTACAAATTAAAATTTTCGTGTACATCTAAGTTTTAATTAATTAAAGTTGTACTTATAAATCTTATCATCTGTTTGGGCCTTAATGTGTATTTGATAAGAAATGCAAACATTGAATTTTCTTAAAGATAAATGAAATAAGTTCATTTATTTTTCGGAATAAAAATGAGTATGCGGACAACGATATTTAAATGTTTCTAATTCCTAGGAAGAATATAATTAACTTGCAAAAAAGACAAATTTGGGATACTGTTCATAACTGTCACTATGGAATATGTCATCGGCGGACTATGGCACATTACGTGACAAACTATTTCAAAGGTAAAACTAACATGCATGTAAATTATTTCATTAAATACGATGTGAATAAACTCATATTTTCAGGACTTTACAGTTACTAAAAGTAAGGATGTAGAAATGATTTAAAAACTGTAGCAGCAAAATCTCATTTGGATCATGAAATCTAAGGGGTTGCCTGAAAATAATTTTTATAGAAGTAAATGGCAAATTACAACATTTAACATAAACTGCTTACTTATCACATTGTCAGTTAATGAAAACTCTTGCTTTTATAACCAAAAAGATAACTCTTTTTTCAAAAGGAAGGGTTTACAAACGCTGAAGATCAGTGGATATAATGTTATTGTTGTTGTTTTTATGTCAGATGTGTTTTCGTAAGACAGTTACCAGCATTTTTGGCACATCATAATTTCTTCTGTATGCTTAATTGTTTATGCCTGAGAATTAAAAATATAAATTGATCCTTAGATACTTGACATTCGAGATCAACTTTACAAAACTCAAGAAATTTCACTGTAGCTTAGTTTTTTAGAAGTTCAGCAAATGATAACATATATTGTTCTTAAAGCATTATTTTAGTGAACAACCCCTTCAAAGTATTGTATTCATTAAAGCCTTTCTCGAGCATTCAAACATTTTAGAAACATATCTGGTGTTATCGAGGAAGCACAAATATCCGTATGTCAGCAAGGTCATAAGGAACAGACATATATGTAAATATATAAAAAAGTATAATATATGAACCCAATGTGTTACAGAACAATACTTAATTGGGTTATATCGTAAATGTCTTTGGTTCTCTTTAATTTACATTAATAAGAGCGAGGAGATTAAGGACTTGTTTCCAATAACCATTGTAATAAGCATAAAGACTGCAATACAAGCTTCCAAGTGACGTATTTGAATCTTTCCTTTCAGAAATACAAAGTTTGTCCTCTCAAATAATAAAAACTCGCTCTCGACTATTAGTGCCTGACAGTAAGAAAAGGGAAGATGGCTCTTTAAAGAGATACATCAGAGATATTCAACCTGTGACCACTATGTAAGATAATCAAAAGGAATTGAGTGATGTTTCAACCCATGCCCTCCAGTAGTCTTGGAGATACTAATTTGCAACGTTGTTTAACAACAATAGTTCCTCCTATTCTACGTATAGTCTTACTAAAATTAAAACGTCATAGCGCGTTCATTTTTATACATGTTTTAAATTCAATATGGTTCAACTTTAGATACACTTTTACACAACCACTTTATAATACATATGTTTACTCATAAATTTTAAACTTTTTAGTACAGACGTAAAGGCGAAAATCACGACGTCATTTCGAGGTCAACATGATAAAATTCTCACTCGACATGACGGCTCTAATCTATTTACCGTTATCTTAATGGAAAGACATAAGACACTACCGTCGACGAGCCATGAAACATCGTACATGGTGTATGCAGGCGTTTGATTGTATGTTGAAAACGAATGTTGTCTTTCTTTAAAAAGAAACCGAAATTATAATTTTGAATTACAGGTACTTTCTGTAAAATTTGCCTTTTGATTAGATATGTTAATTGTTACTTCGTACGTTTCCTAAAAAAGACAACAGCAACAACAACGACGACTTAAATGGAAACAATGAGCTTTGATGATTATTTTTGGGATATTTCTTAATAGATATGTATGTATATGATTATATTAGAAATGGATGATATGGTCAATATTTACTAAATAAATGTAAACAAAATATTTGGGATCGATCGTAAATTTCTTTGGTTCTCTGTAATTTTCAGAGGATTGTTCGCAGAGATACTAAAGCTTGCCTCTATGATGAAATTTGGTAAAATGCTATTTCTTGGATAATGATACGCCATTTTATTGATCGTCCTAATTTATAGAATAGAATACGGAGCCCAGTTTACAAAAAAGAATACAACATAATGCTTTCTGACCAGTCTTATTATTGAACAAATATGAAAGTTAAACAAAATTCAGAGTTATTCAATAAATGGACCAAATTACCGCTGCCAAGGAGACGGAAGACATCTACTGCTATCCTGAAAGCAAGAAGTATGTCAATATTAAGAATAAGGTAAAAACATTCTTTCTTTTCAATCGACGACTATAAAGTAACTGCAAATAAAATGACTGAAAACGTATCAGTTTCGATTTTTGCTATGCACGTGTACTTTCTTCACGAAATGTAGCCCAACTTAATCAACCCTTAGTGCAAGAATGGAATAATATTCCACAACAGTCGATTGCTCCAAATGTTCTGTCAATGACAATCAGGCAAAGGTGTATTGCTTGCATTCAGGCTAATGAGTTATACACGCAATACTGAATGCCCCATCAATAAGCGAATTTGAAATTTATTAAAAAGAATATTAATAGAAAAAAAAATACAAACAAAAAACCTCCTCTGACTTCGTCCAAGAGGAGGGACATGATCTTAAACAATCCCAGCGAGATCAAGACTGAGATCGGGACTATGCGAATAAAACAGGTCGGTTGTGATTTTTTTAATGAATGCGGGTTATCATGTGTTTTAAACTTAAACTCAAGAATTGAGTGATGCAAAAATGTAAAACAAAAATCAAATATGCTCTTCCCTTCAAAAAAGAAGCAAAAACCCAACTGATGCGTTTTAAAAGTCCGTCAGTGAACATCAATTCCTTTATTTTTCTTCTTTTCACTTAAAAATCGATATTTGAATTGTCCGCTACTTGATCATATGAATTGAATAAAAAACGTTTTTAACAAGCAAATGTACTTCAGTATATAACTGTTGAGTATACAAATATATAATACAAAGTCTCTACTTTTAAGAATAAATTCATTAACACAATTATTGAAAAGGTTGTTAACTAGCTTATGTAAGGTATTTGAAGTACGCATTCTAAAACTTAAAATAAAATAAGACGTAAGACATGTACCAACTATCACTGTTCCAGTTTGACCTTGGGTATGGAGTGTACAGTTCCTGTTACAATAGTCATCAGTGCAACATGACTG